GTACATCTGCCCTCTGACCCAAGGGCACTCGTGGCAATGTGACGCAGTGGTTGACATGTCGAGATTACACACTGCACGGTGATGGTTCGACTCCCGCTGTGGGTGTTGCCAAGACCTATGCGGGTTCGAAACTCCAGTCCAAGGTAGCCGGGATGAGAACACCTTTTGGGAGGGCAAGGCTATGTGAAATTCGATGGAAAACATCAGCTCTATTTATGTCATTTTGGGAAAAATCATCATCTAAAAGAAACTGGGTGAATATAATTCATATCTCTGATCTACTGGTAGACTCGAAGACCGACTCACTTACGAAAAAATATAGACAAAAGGTAAGGTAGAGTCGAATAGCCTTTTCGACCTGGTGGTGTCAACGCGAGACTTTTGCAAGAATGAGTTCCAGCTCTGAGGATGTCCATCGAATGATGGACGAACGCTCAGCCCGTTTTCACTCGAAGCGAAGGTGGACGCCTCGTGGACTGCGTATTAGTAAAGCCAAACGGCTGCAGTACAACAGGATTCAACCGTCCTCTTCTGATGCGATCAAACTAAGCATCTTTTTTCCATAAACTTTCATATGAAATGAAGGTCTCTTTAACAATGTTATCTCAGGAGATTCATCAAAACACAGTTACTTTTCGTATTTGCTTAGGTTAGACCGTTTTTTTTAAGAAGATAGGATGCTCCACCGGCTTTTTTTCTCCGTCGTGAATCCTAAAAGACCTCTCCAATTCAGAATGTACTGCGATTGTTAGTTCGTCTGTACCTCGGGGTTAGATCCAGTGAATTTCGGAATGTGGAAGTTCAGGCTAAGATGCAAATGTATCTTATCACCAAGGCTGTATATGAGCTAAAATCCATTGCGCCTTGAGAAAGACAACATGTGCCCCCCCCTCAATCCCTTTTGATGAGGTGTGTTTGATGTCTTATTTAACCAAAACTTTTATATAACTTATTCACACTCTATACACACCTGACAACGACTAAAAAGTTCCTAATTATACAAACTATACATTCTAACGACAAGGCAATTAAACAAAAAACCAATTGACAAAGTTGCCCAAGCAACTAGAAAATAGATCCTACCCAAAAAAATAAAAATTTGAATATAAAAATATCAACCTTTCTCAAGAGCTTCTTTCACCCCAACCAGTAATACAACTTAATTAAAGGGCCAACTTTCTAGCCCCACATTTTGTGAACAAGACGGAGGAATTGGTTTTCTAATTGCTCTACCCTTATTGCTTTCAGTCCATTCGGCCAGTGATCTCAAATGGCCCTCTTCGTCTGGCGTCTTCAGGCCATTTGTCGATTTGTGCCTTTTTGGTCCTCTGCTCGGCGACAGAAAGCGCCGCGGAGCCACCAAATCCAAGTCTGTGACGAATGCGCCCATCTACAATGAAACATTTATCTTGTAAGTTGAACGGGACTGTCCGAGTGCAATTCAATGGCAGACTCACTTCTGACTTTGCCACCTTGCACAGGGACCGAAAACAGTGTCACTTTCAGAAACAACATTCTCTTGGCCGCCATGACAGCCACAAATGAAAGCCACTATGATCCTGCATCCAGAGTACAGAACCGTTTTCTCGGTGCCCTCAGGCTCTAAGCAAGAGGCTTGTCCATCCGTTCAGCCGAACCTCTACTCGAGCTGTAGGGCTCATTTGTAGGCCCCTGTCGAGCATATTAAGGCATGATACCATCGGTTCATTGTGTAGTCTGTTTCACCGGCAAGTTGGTCAATTTCTTGTGGAATCCCATTCATGCAAATGCCAAGGGTCAATCTCGTCCATCCCTATCTCAAGTTTTCACAGTGGCCGTGTTCCGAAATGGGCCGATTCTGTTGCCTCTATTTGCTCTTCTGCCGTTAAAACTTTTCCAAACATACCAATCGGAATTGGCCCGGAAATCACGCTCATAACCAATTGTCCACTGCTTAAGTATTATATCATAATATAATATTGTAGTAGATTATTCTATCTCTCTCTCTTTATCTATCTATCTATCTATCTATTTATTTATTTATTTATTTATTTATTTATTTATTTATTTATTTATTTA